TAAAATATGCATTCAAAAAATTTTAATTTATTCCGTTTACTGGGTAAAATTTTAGAAACTGTAAACTGTTGATAAGCTATAAATGCATATCAATATTTTACAGTCCCCGAAATTTTATCCATATTGAATTTTTTTGCGTCGATTGCTTTTTGGCTTCGGAGCTCAAATTTGGACAGGACTGAACCTTTTTATTTTACTCTCTTATTTAATTATTTTACATACTGAAGATGGCAATATCTTGGCCGAAACATTTATGTTTATTTATATTAAAAATTGATGAAATTTTAAATATATGACTTTCGCTACTGATATCCTGTGTAACTTTTTTGCTCTTTTATTTATAGATTGTATATTTAAGCCACGTTTTGTAAATTTAAAATAATAACATACACTGCTGATTGAATAATACGGAATGAAAAAAAATATAAAATTCCTACAATAGTATGTATAAATTTATGTAATATATATATATATAATTCACATTGAATTATTTAAAGCAGTAAAGATTCAGCTTCGACCTTTGCTTTACCAAAAAATACACTGAACTAGGCATTGGCGGTTCGAAATAATACTCAAATTAAGTACTAATCCTCAAGATGGAGGTTTATTTGGAAGTTATATTTAATTTTAATCAGTCATTTCGGACTGCTAGCGCTTAATCGGTGTATTTTTTCGTAAGAGTTATAGGCTTAAATATTCTTACTTATTCACCTTACGGTCACTTAATAAATCATTTATTGTTGTTGTGTATACATGCTGCCTGAAAAATGCATTATTGTTTCTATATACTGATTATTGCGAAGAATATTACTAAGGCCTATAGGCTTAGGATATGAAATACAAGAGATTGGAGCCGAGTTCGACTCCCAAGATAATATTTCTTACAATAAATTTATTTGCAGTTTTTCAGTCCATTAATATCTTTCTAATATAATATCTGATTAACAAAATTATTAAAATTTGCTTGTAAATTTAATTTAATTTATGATATTATTATAGTAGTGTAATTGCGTTTATAAGTCTGGAAAATTCGATGTGCAGTTCAAATGATTACAAACGTGATATACATGCATATACATATACAGAGTATGTATATAATTCACGTTGAATTATTTAAAGCAATGAAGATCTAGCTTCGATCGTTCTAAATATTCTTATTTATTGTGTATTTTCACATTACGGTCTTAATAAATTATTTATTAATCTAAATGTCTTAGAAATAAAATTTGTTATATTTAAATAAACAATATAATACAATACAATATGAAACAATATAATACAATAAAAATAATAAAGCATCTACAGAAAAGTTTCTTCGATTCAAATAAATGTTTCTTTGCTATATAGTTAAAGAAAATTTTCTTTGATTTAAATATCATTTTTTTTATTTAAACATTATTTTTTGAAATTACTTTTCTTATGTTGGATTATTTTTTAAAATTAAATAAACAAACTTGTTTGATTTAAAAAAAATTATATTCAAGAAATTTTTTAACCGTATAGCAAAGAAATATTTCTTTGAATTAAAAAAAAAAAAAATTTTTCTCTAAATAATAAAAATTAAAAATATAAAATAACAGGGTATTTAGGAGTAAACCACAGAATTTGTTGCGTGAAACAAATTATATTTTCTCTCAAGTACTCATACAAAATTGTTCAAATCTCATAACATAACTTATAAATTAGAAATCTTGACATGATTTGACTACGTAATCGAGCACCTTCTTCAGAAAAAAACCAAATTGAAAACATTATAGGTATGGTTTTTTTAGCTAAAGTTCTTGCACATCGGTTTATCTCAAGTAGAACATTAAGTCACGATAACGTCAAAATGACATTAAAATGAATTGAAAATTAAGTTGTTTCCAATGAAAGCTTCATATGACGGTTAGAAAAACCGTGTGGAAAAATTTGAATGTGCGATCGTGGATTAAATATAATCAGTTAGACATAACAGATGCATTCTTGAGTTAAAAAAACAAATAAATCAGTCAGTGTAATAATAAAAATCTATTTAATAAATTATTGCATCTATAGTCAGAGAATAAAATTAAATATAAATGAATTAAATTAAATATAAAGTGTTTCATAAATGCATTTCAATACTTTAGGAGATAAATCTATATATTAAAAGTAAAAAAAACATCATATGAACATATGTCCTACATATCTTAGTTTTCAAGTTATAGATGATTAAGAATCTCTTTTACCAACCTCGGTTAAACTAACCGACGGTTACATGAGGCTTGTTCAGTATACTCGTGTTAATGTAACTGTCAGTTAGCTTAACTGAAGTTGGTGAAAGAGATCTCAAGAAAATGTTTGAAATGTCCATCTTATGCATCAACACACGCTACTATATACCCTAGCATTGAATTCCGCACTCGTTCAAAAATACCAAGTATTCTTCGAATAATTTCAAATCCATTTAGTATCTTTTCTCGCAGATCATCCATATTGTTTACCAGCGTTGAATACACAATAGATTTTAAATGGCTCCAAAAATAAAAATCTAATGGATTGAAATCAGGAGTTCATGAAGATACATTAAATGTATATCGGCTATTTTTATTATTATATTTTATTATTATATTTTTTTATTATATTTTTTTATAATATGCTTTTATAATATGCTTTCAGCATAAATGTACATTACTATTTTGCCGCTTTTAGAACAATATTTAGAACAACTCGCGAGCTTAAGATACCGATTGTTTGAAATTCTGTCCATTTGTATTAAATGATATTGTTTGTAAACATTAAATAATGTCGAGACATGCTAAGCTATACAATAGCTTAGTGTATGTTGACCCACATTTCGAACATTTTCCTTAATCATAACTTGAAAACCTCATTGAAAACTAAGATATGTAAGACATGTTCATATGATGTTTTTTACTTATTTTAGTGTATAGATTTATCATCTAAAGTGTATTGACATGTATTTATAATAATACATCCTGTATAATATGAGTGTTTATCCGTTGTCGTTTACTCTTTAATTTAATTTATTATGTTATACTTAATTTAATTTATTTATATTTAATTTTATATTTAATTTGATTATAGATGCAATAATTTATTATGGTAAATGTTTAGTATAGCGTCCTCATCTTCAATTTTCCTGTAATTTTGTAAATTTGTGTATCTTTACAAATACATTATCATTTTCTAATTTACCGTCAAAAAACTTTGAAATTAAATTTAAAAAAAATGAGATTTGTCCGACAATTTTCCTTCTCGAAATATATTTTATACATGAAAATACACAAAAATACACAGTGAGGGGCGTTATACTGATCATTTACCTTTATTATATACAGTTTATTATATATAGTTTTTTTATTATTACACTGATTTACTTTTTTAACTTATTAACGCATCTGTTATGTCTGACTGATTATATTTCGCTGATCGCATAGATTTCTCCACATGGTCTTCCAATCGTCATGTGAGCAACTATCATTAGCATTGTTCGTTTTGTCTCTCAGAAGCTACTCGGAATTCATCGTAACGATGAATATCGGATGTCTTATGACGAATGCCGTACGTAGTGTGAATCCTACATTTCAAGTACGCCGGGTTCGTTCGGAGCAATTCCGAGCAGCTCCCGAGATAAAGTGAATAACACTATTATATATTTGATTACTCTGGAAACTTAATCAAAAACCGTTTTTCTTTTGAGAGGATGGAGTCTCATTATGTATTTCAATTTATCGGCTTTTTCTGAAGAGAGCGCTCACGTAACCTAAACATGTAAAAATTTCTAAATTTCTAAATTATGAGGTTTGAACTTTATGATTATATGAACTTATATGAACTTATATGAACTTGAGAGAAAATATAATTTGTTTTATGCAACAAGTCTGCAATTAGCTCTTAAATATACTGTTATTTTTAATCTTTAAAAATATTAATGTTTTTTTTTCGAATATTAAACTAGTATTAGCTCTGATTCAATTCATTTCAATCCATTCTCATTTACTGGAATATTAAATCGACAAGCAATTTAATAACATGATACTATAATATATATATAGGATGTCTCGAAAGTTTTTGCCAATCGCTTTTGTGTAGATAGAGCGGACTAAACTGAGTCGAAAAGTCTTATAGAATTCTAAGAATTTTCTCAGAATTTTTTATCAACTTTTTAACTTTTTACCGCATTTTTTATTTTTACCAACATGAGAAAATAATATATTAAAAAATTCTGAAAAAATTCTCAGAACTTTATGAGAAGAAAATAAATGATTTTTGTCTCTTGCAGCTTTTCACTTTATGACCTTGATCCAAAGTCATACTGAAGTCATCATCGGATCGTAAATTTCAATAAATTTTATGTAAAATTTGAGATTTCTTCACAAGTAGAGAGGAATACGTTATAGATTTTCCAACTTCAAACTTTGATATCACTGCGAGAAAAAATCGTACAGATACAAATCACAATTAATTTTAAAGATAAAACTAGTATTTTAAGATGCCACATGCAGAATTGGCAGAAAAAAATTTCGTTGTTAGTAATAAATCGATAAATACAATCAAAATCGTCCTTTTTGGGTTATTTAAATCAAATTATCTTAGTAATCTGATGTGATAGACTAATTCTGCGGCCGAATTCGACTTCAATACAAAAAATTACATAAGAAACGACTTTTACTTTCCAGAACGCAGGAACATGCAGACTTGTGTAATTTGATGTTAATAAGAATTTATAATTTTAAATAATTTATTGTGAAAAATATTACCTTGACTAAGAATTTGAACCTGGAATTCTTTGCGGGTGTTTTCTCAATTCGATCATCGAAGTTTCGACAATGTTTATTGCAATAATCAATAATTAGTGAAACGTATTTCAAGGAAAATGTGATTAAACAATATCCTTTTATTGAAAATAGGATTTCTTTTACTTAATTAGATTTATTCTCATCGCCAATTCCAAATTAAATCCTCAAATAAATAACTGCGCTCCAAGATTTGTACATGGCCACTGTTTGTTACAGAACTTGGACGAGCTGCTGGACCATAATTCAGATTTAAGTGACAAGCTGTGTCAGATAGGAGACAGCATAGTATACAAGTTGGTGCAGTGGACCAAAAGGTTACCGTTTTACCTTGAATTGCCAGTCGAAGTTCACACAAGGTTGCTCACCCACAAATGGCATGAACTTCTTGTGCTGACCACATCTGCCTACCAAGCAATGCACGGTCATCATAGATTGACAAATGTCGCTACTGATGGGACGGGTGCAGACTTTATGCAAGAAGTAATTACAGCTTACAATAATTTATGAGCGTATACATTTTATAAATATATATATATACACTATAAATAATTTTTCCTTACAATACTTTCCTTACAATATTCAGCACATATCTTCTAGAAGTTACAACAATATTGTTTTTCGTGTATCAATTTTCAAACGAAATTTAAAAAATCCAGATTCTATAAAAGAATCTTTTTATTATTTTTATACGAAAATTTTTTTAGATGCACATTTGTGCACAAAACACAATTTTGATGATAAATTAGTATTAGTATAATTCAATTCATTTAAATGATGTAATTTTTAATACTATCTATGTTAATATATCATTATTCATTTTTATTAATATTAGTTTTATGTACGCTTCTTTACTTCAAAAGTAACTCAAAAAAACATGATTTTCAAATTATTATCATGAATGAGTTCAGTGAATAATACTGTAATATAATTATATCAATCACAATAATTATATCAATCATAAATAGAATTAACTTCATAAAAATCGTCAGAATATCACAATTGAAAAAAAGTGATATAAAATTCAAAATTATCACGATTCGAAAAAAGTTGCGAAACGAAAATGCTAAAAATGATAATGTTACAAACATTTGATAATGTTAAGAATATAGGGGAGAGTGGAGTAATGATAAACACTTAAGCAGAAAATAAAATAAAATAAAAGCCAAGTAAGAAATAAGTTTTTTAATGCTTATAATTATACATCAACTATTTGTTTATTTACGTCTATCATCATTTTTTATTAGATTTGAACATAAAATAAGTTTTTAATAATAAAACAAAGCTCTTGCTGTTCGTGATTTTCCGACTATCATGAGATAATCACTTTTTAAATATAGGCGCAATATGTATATTTCTGACAATGTTTTTATCTAAAGAATTCTTGATAAAAAAAGTTATGATAAGATAGAGATAGATGTAAGATACAGAATGATAGAAAAATCCTATCGTTTTTAATACGAAATCTGGTTTGTGAATTCATTAATTTGAATCAAATCTTATAGAAATCTTACAGAACTTGACAAAATACGATAGGATTTATATCCAATCTGATGCTTGCAAGGTCGACGATAGAAAAATGATATAAGCTTATAGAAACGATACAAATTGATAAATCTTATTGTTCTCAATCGTTCTCTATCAACTTTTTTTTACCAGGGATAATTTATAAATACGACAAATGTGTTTACGGACCTATTCTAATAAAAATTTCATAACCAGGTAACGAACAACATGTATACGTTGCAAAGATGCCTAACCAGCATGATGGGTCGGCCGATAACCATGGACCAATTGCGGCAAGATGTAGGACTCATGGTGGAAAAAATCACATATGTCACGTTAATGTTTAGGCGAGTGAGACTACGAATGGAGGAGTATGTCTGTCTAAAAGTAATCACTATGCTCTCACAAGGTAAGCACTTTTATTAAATTTGCTGTATCTGTTATTATCACGTCAAGTTAACTTCTTTGGCATTACGTGTATT